GACAGCTGTTTCCGTACGTCAGTTGTTTCCAAGTTACGAAGTCATATTGTTCTTACAAGCAAATTTCTTTGTTCGCCCACTTTTAGATACGTTCAAGCTATAGGAAATTTTCAGTCCAGAAGTTCAGCGCTGTGAACCTTGGGTGTACCTCAAACCAGGCAGCAAATAGATCAACTATTACGATTTCTGTGCTGGATGACCTCCACAAATGTAGACGAATTGTCTCCTCAGCTCGAAGACGTGTCGTGAACAGATAAACCGTCGATCAAGGGGACGATGAGACACGTGGCAGACTTCAACGTTCTTCCAGAACAAGTTTCTCTTAAAGGAACATGGAAATCAGCACCGTGATTGTTCATCAACAGTTTGATTGTTCAGGACAGGTTTTCACCGCCATGTGGAGACAATATTGTACACCGTGTTTGTCCCTCGTGCGATCCCAGACTCTGGTTACCGACCGCTTTCGATGACGTATGTCAACGCAACACTTCGCCTCTCATAAAACTCATTATACTCGCTCTATTTTTGTCCTTCTTAAGCTTCCTCATACTTTTTCAATTGAACCATTTAAACCTGCTGTTGCCTACAGGGGCATCATCCTTTTTAATGCCAACAAACGACTGCTGACATCGGTGCGACGTGGCGCCTTCCTTCCGATGGTGGCTACGCACAGAGAAGACGAAAAGATGTTCCGAGAAGTGTCCAGTGAAAGATATGAAAAATCTGACCGCAAAATAACATTCGTTCCGTCTAGTGGTGGGAAAATTAAAAATCTCTCAAAATATGTTGCGAGGATTTTTTTTGACAATACTGTCATTTCACTAAGTAAGCAGTCCGCAGAAGCTTAGTCACTATACCAAATGAATATCTTTGAAACCATCTGTCCGTAGGTCGGTAAGTTATGGACATCTTGCCTCTGAAAGTCAGCTGTCACGGACAATTCAAGTTAATTCATAATTGCAAAGCAACAAAATAGACTACGCTAAATTCCTTGTCCTTTCATCAAGGTAAAAATGCTATATATTACTATACTGTACATCGTAGGCATAGACATTTCATTGCATTATATTTATTTCTTGACTATGGACTGGTTATGAAATTTGACTGAGCAGGATAATTGCCATAATCATGATCAGCTTTATTCGACCCGCAGCCTTATCAAAGCCTATTGAACACTTCGAGACAATGTTTTGTCGTCTGTGATCTCTAAATAAGATCCATCAACAAATTCCTCCCGCTATGGATCCAGAGAGCTTTCCGCAGGCTGCTCACTGTCTCTTGGAACTCGCTCTATTTTATCTTCCGTCCAACGAGAGTCGGTTCTTTTTTGCAGCGTGTCCAACTGATTTTCATTCCAACTTCTGTGCAAATTCAATGACATCACAGTTTGTTGTTCATGTCCCTACTCACTTGCCCTACTCATTTGCTCATCTTCCTATCCAATCTTGAAAAACCAAACGCATTTTTCTCTGCTGAATTAAGTAGTCTGTAATTCATGAGCAGCTTCCATGCCTAAAAATATATTTTGCGTCCATAATCGACATTGGCAGCACGCAGTGGAGGCAGAACTTCCATTTCAAGCAAAAGGACATTAAAATCTTCCGAAAATGCTATATGCCATTTTTGCTTTCCTCATATTTCGCACAGAAAGCTCGCTATTGCAGAAATCAAATGCTTCCAATAATTCTGCGCATCTTTACGACTAAATCTATAATATTTGATTGATGCTTGTTAAACATGACCTCGGTATTCTTTATATTCACGTTCCGTCCTGCCATGATGTCTGCGACGTTCTTCTCTAAAGGTTCAACGATCAACCGGTCCAGACAGACGCAATTTCGCGCTTCTTAAAGTTAACGTTCAGGGACTTCAACAAAGGTGAGGTGCTAGCATACTCGCGAGCAATAACCAAAACCGTTTGCAGACTCATTTTCAGATGTGAATTAATGTTGGCGTCGTTCAATTATTGGATTCTTTGTAGCAGTTATCCGCGAGACGCTGTTAGAATCCTGAATGCCATTCTAAGCACTTTTAGAAAACTTCCTCACGCAGCCCACTGAATTAAGCAGGAAGCAGTGAGCACAGATGTTCTCCGCTGAGTTGATCCGATGGAATTTACTAGATATAAGGTTAGAAATGAACTGTCGCAGTATCTGCATTGAAAAATATTCTGGTAATACTGAAGCTGATTGATGGACGGTCGACGATGTTGCCAATTATATGTAGGTCACAGATAGTAACAACATTATTCGCTATTTAACGTTACTGGGTCTCAGTTGGATCCACCTGTGACTGATTAATGTAATCCCGAGGAAAATTCAGATAAAATTCATTTGCATCTGATTTGACGGCAGCTAATATGGGCTGTACTGAAATCATATCGTTCCGTAGCGTAACTCTAACTTCGTTAGCAGAGAATAACGCGCATGTGTCTGTGTCGCACATCATAAGCAAGTGGGCATTAAAGTGAAAATGTTCTTGACGGTTGGTCTTCCAATAATAATAATAATAATAATAATAATAATAATAATAAATAATAGCTGCTGAAATGGGCTTTCTTAGACGAGTCG